TAGAAGCAGTAATCAAAAGCCTCCCAAACAGAAAGAGCCCAGGGCCAGATGGTTTTAGCTCAGAATTCTATCAGACATTCAAAGAATTAATACCAATACTCATGAAACTATTACACAAAAGAGAAACAGAAAAAACATTGCCAAACTCATTCAAGAGACCACAGTCACCCTGATACCTAAACCACACAAAGACTGAACAAGAAAAGAGAATTTGAGAACAGTCTCACTTATGAACCTTGATGCAAAAATACTCAATAAAACACTTCAAACCAAATCCAGAAACAAATAAAAAAATATCATCCACCATGATCAAGCAGGCTTCATCCCAGGGATGCAAGGAAGATTCTCCATAGGAAAATCCATCAATGTAATCCACCATATAAACAAACTGAAAGAAAGAAAAAAAACACATGCTCATCTCATTAGATGTTGAAAAGGCCTTTGACAAAATCCAATACCCCTTCATATTTAAAGTCTTGGAAAATCATGGATAAAAGGCACATACAAAATATAGAACAAGAAATATACAGCAAGCCAATAGTCAGCATAAAGTTAAATGGAGAGAAACTTAAAGTATTCCCGCTAAAATCAGAGACAAGACAAGGCTGCCCACTATCACTGTGTCTCTTCAATATAGTATGTGAGGTCTTAGCTAGAGCAATAAGACAAGTAGAGTAACAAGATCAAGGGGAAGAGAAAAAAGTTGGAAGAGAAGAAGTCAAAGTATCGCTATTCCCAGATGATATAATTGTATACATAAGTGACCCCTAAGATCCTACAGCTAATAAACACCTTTAGAAAAGTGTCTGGATACAAAATTGACTCAAAAAAGTCAGAAGCCCTCCTTTATACAAGTGACAAAAGGGCTGAGAAAGAAATTAGGGAAACACTTTTCACTATAGCAACAAATAATATAAAATATCTTCGTGTAACTCAAATCAAGCAAGCAAAAGACCTGCATGATAAGCTCAATCAAGTCTTTGAAGAAAGAAATTGAAGAAGACTTTAGAAGATGGAAAAATCTCTCATGTTTATGGATTAACATAGTAAAAATGGCCAATCTGCCAAAAGCCATCTATAGATTCAATGCAATTCCCATCAAACTTCCAACACAATTTTTTACAGAGCTGTAAAGAGCAACCATTAACTTCATATGGAAAAATAAAAGATCCAGAATAGCCAAAACAATGCTGTAAAATAAAAGAACTTCTGGCAGTACCAACATCCCTGATTTCAGGCTATACTACAGAGCAATAGTGATAAAAACTGCATGATACTGGCATAGAAACAGAATGGTGGATCAATGGCACTGAATTGAAAAAGGCAGAAATAAACCTACATTCCTATGGGCACTTAATTTTTGACAAAGAAGCCAAAACCATACAATGCATACAATGGGGAAAATAAAACATCTTCAACAAATAGTTCTGGTCTAACTGGATGTCTGCATGTAGAAAAATGCAAATAGACCCATATTTAATACCCTGAACAAAACTCAAGTCCAAGTCAATCAAAGACCTTGGCATAAAATCAGAGACTCTAAATCTATTAGAAGACAATGTGGAGAAAAGTCTGGAACTCATTGGCATAGGAGAAAACTTCCTGAATAGAACACCAACAACACAGGCTCTGAGATCAACAATTAATAAGTGGGATCTCATGAAACTGAGAAGCTTCTGTAAGTCAAAGGACACTGTCGTCAGAACAAAATGACAGCTTACCGACTGGGAAAAGACCGTCACCATTTCTACATCAGACAGAGGGTTGATATCTAAAATACACAAAGAACTTAAGAATTTAAACATCAACAAATCAAATAATCCAATTAAAAATAAGGTACAGAGCTAAACTGGGAACTCACAACAGAGTAACCTTGAATGGCTGAGAAGCACTTAAAGAAATGCTCAGTGTCCTAAGCCATCAAAGAAATGCAAATCAAAATGACTAAGATTCCATTTTATACCAGTCAGAACGGCTAAGATAAAAAACTCAAGTGACAACACACACTGGCAAGGATGTGGAGAAAGAGAAACACTGCTGTATTGTTGGTGTACGTGCAAACTTATACAACCCTTCTGAAATTCAATTTGGTGCTTTCTCAGAAAATTGGGAATCATTTTACCTCATGACCCAGCTATACCACTCCTGGGCATATACCCAAATGATGCTCCACCATACAACAAGGACATTTACTCAACTACGTTCATAGCAGCTTTATTCGTGATAGACAGAACTGGAAACAACCAAGATGTCCCTCAGCCGAAGAATGGATACAGAAACTGTGGTACATTTACACAATGGAATACTATTCCATTGCTATTGAAACAATACTATTGCTATTAAAAACAAGGAAATCATGGAAATTTGCAGATAAATGGATGGAATTAAAAAAGATCATCCTGAGTGAGGTAACCCAGACCCTGAAAGAAACACATGGTATGTACCCACTTACAAGTGGATTTTAAACAGGATAACCACACTGCAATTCACAGACAGAAAGAAGCTAAGTAACAAGGAGGGCCCAAGAGAGGGTGCTGGCATGTCACTAAGAATGGGAAATGGAATGGACAGCAGAAGTGGATAAAGAGAGGGAACTGGGCAGGAGATGGAATGGGGAGAGGAAAGACATGTGGGGATCAGATGTGGGGAGAACCCAGGTGGGAAGTGAGAGAGCTGGGAACAAGAAGGAAAACTGAGGGGGTGAATCTCTTCTCGCTGGAGGCCTGTGACAGGGTGGGCTCCTGGGAGGATATGGGTGTGACTCAACTGAGACTCCTAACAAAGGGGGACATTAAGACTGAAGTGACCACCTCCTGGCCAGGCAGGACCAGTGGAAGGAGGGAAACAACAACCCACCGACAAAATCTTTGATCCAAAAATTACCTTACCTACAAGAAGTGCAGGGATAAAGAATGCATGGACAAAGATTGAGAGAATATCCAACCTATAATTGGCCCAACCTGAGACCCACCCCTCATGAGAGAGCCAGCCCCGTCACTGTTGATGATGCTCTGCTGTGGTTGCAGACAGGAGCCTAACTTTACTGTCCTCTGGGATGCTCCAGCCAGCAGTGGATCGAGACAGATGCTGCGACTTGCAGCCAAGCATGGGGCAGAGCTCTGGGGGTCCTGTGGAAGTGTTGGAGGAAAGATGGAAGGACCTGGAGGGTACGGGAACCTCACAACAAGACCAACAGAGACAACAAACCCAGACCCATGGGGCCATACGAAGACTGAGACATCAACTAAGGAGCAGGCATGGTCTTGCCCTCTGCACACATATAGCCAACGGGCAGCTTGGTCTTCATATGTATTGCCTGGCAAATTGGGGGGGGGGGCTGTTTCTAACATGGACTCTCTTTCCTGCTTTTGGATCACTTCCTCCTGGCAGGGCTGTCTTGCCTGTCCTCAGGGGATGAGGACATGCTCAGTCCTGATGTGACTTGATGTGCTGGGGAGGATTGATACGGGGGAAAGGGAGAGGTCATGGAGGGGAAGGGAGGAGATTAGAAGGAGAGGAGGGAGGAGGCAACCTTGGTTTAGCTTTCCTTTTTCTTTGTAATGATCACCACAGATACTTTAAAAACAAACAAACAAACAACAACAACAACAACAAAAAAAAACACAAAAAAGTTGTCCCAGCAGTTCTGAGTATCTTCACGTGAATCTGACAAAAGCAGCTTATGTGCTTTAAAATCATATTTGAAAATCTAAACCCATGAATAACAGCAATGCCAATTAGGACATCTAACTTAGTAAGTGGAAAGCCATTGAGTTTTTCCATTTCACAGATGAGGCAACTAAGGCTTGGGGATCTAGTTAGCATACCCGACTTCGGGCACTCAGTGGACTATGACACCAGGCTCTCACAGTCTGTGTGGAGGACAAGAGGACTATCTGTCCACACATCACCAAGAAGTTCTAGCACCTCCTGTGAAAACACCAAGTGAACGCTCTGGTGTGTGGAGCAGACAACAGTAGTACTGGGTACAGATATCAGCTTTACTCTCTTGGGGAAAATAGGTAAGCTCTGAGTTCCATATTTTTATGAAATGGGTTAATAACCCCTTCATGACTAATTTACTGTGTGGCTGAAGGAGACATCTTCTTTACACTTCCATGTTGCATTTACTTTGGTAAAGGAAGTTTTTAAGCAATGCTAGGAATTCTTTTCCTGCATTTAAAATTATATATATATATATATATATATGTTTGTATAAATAAATAAATATAAATGCTCTTAGCATCTACAAATAATGTTTTTCCTTAGTGTTATACTAGGTCAGTGTTATACACTTTGAAGTGATTTTATTGTAGCCACAGAGCTCTCATCAGGGTGCTTAATATAAAATGATTCCTCGCTTGTCTCATATGATAATAGTAGATAACGTCTTAATTGCCAAGCTTTTAAAGTTATTATTGAAATTCTCCACTCACTGTAAAGTGTAACCTGACTAGATAAACATTAATATGTTTTTTTTGTTTAAGTAAAGACATGTTAAAAATCTTTTATTTAGACTCTTATTAAAGATGGGGAAAGGTAGGAGTTACAACATATTCTGGGTAAAAACATTTTGATCCTACAATAACACATATCCCAAAACCATATGCTTATATTCAAAAGTTACATGTGTGTGTGTGTGTGTGTGTGTGTGTGTGTGTGTGTGTGTGAATGCAGAAATGTGTCCATGTGTCAATCTCTGGTGTTACTTCTCGAGTGATGTCTGTCTTCATTTTGGAACAGAGTTTCTCATGGCTTGCAGCTCACCATGTGAAAAATGCATTTTGGTTGAGTAGAGCTGCTTGCAGTAGAGTGAGGGGTAGAGGGACAGGAAGTGAAGCATTTGAGAACAGTACTGTCACTCTCTTCATTAGGTTCGAACTGACACATGTCCATCATTTAGATGGAATTTTCTGTAGAACCAATCCCAAACTGTCTCATGTCAAAATGGAAGTAGCTGAGAGAAAGGCGCATTTGAAAAATGAATCAGAAGACCACACTGAAAATAGATCATAAAATTTTATTTGTGATCATTCACAGAGATATTTTAAATGCACTTCTACATTTATCATTTATCTTATATTTATCTTTGAAATATGCCACAGATTGTCATTTTCTGATTTACTTCCCATAGACTCATGTTAAAATGTGACATAAAGAAGAAATAAATGAATCTATGTGATGCTATTTACTGATTATGAAAATAGAGATGTGGAAAAATATTTATCAATCTTAAAAATATCTGTTTCTCTTTCACTGATTTTGAAATCATGTAAGCATCAAAGCAAAGAGTAGTTAGACCTGTTCTTCTCATTACATGTAAGTTTCAGATCTGCTGTTTTTCATCGATGAACCGTGAAGCCTGTGGCTCAGTGCTATGTGATCTGGGCCTTGTTTGAACGTTAATTGCTCTCATAATGAAAGTGACTATGAAAAGCAGGCAGAACAGTTTGTGCCCCGTGAAACTATGGCATTAACCAGGTATTCAGTCCAATTCCGTATTTCATTAGGAACATGGCTTCAGTATTTAAGCAAAAATGACATTTGAGCCATTCTTGGGCAGTCTGGATACCTGTTTCTGGCACGCGTGAGGAATAGCAGTTTAGTCAGGAAATACTCTCCCTTTCAGTGTCCAGCACCAAAGAGTGAGTTACTTCAGGAAAGGGGGGGTTTAAGAAATTCTAGAATACCCTCTTCCAGGTTTTGTTCCCCTTGTCATAGTAAACAATGACTTGACTGCCTTCAGATGTTCTTAATGGAGCTAATTACAGGTCCTTGGAAACAGTGTTAAAATTACAGGTAATTTTTAATTACAAAGTGTTTCCTTGGAAACGGTTTCCTGTATATGAAAGTGTACTTCATTCCAAAATAGTTCATTTCACTTACAATTAGAAATCAAAGAATGAGCATGGCATAGGGCAATTTAGAAATTGTCACACTAATTGCCATGAAAAAGTTAATTTTTCACAGTAGACAACCGATGGAGCACATCCAATTAACTGGTACGCGGTTACTCACCAGCTACCTCAGAAAAGAATTATTCCGTTTATGACCATTAATTGGTCACCAGCATTAGACGTCGTGTTGTTTCCCAATTTAGGTATTTATTTAGAAATTATACATGTATAGCTATGAAATTTGGAAAGAACTGACCACAATGACTACCATCACTATTGTTTTTAAAGATGAGCCTACGTCGGGAACATTCAAGTTCACGGCAGCTGTCTTACAAATCACCTTAGCACACCGGCTTCACGGCTAATGGTAGGCCTCTCTTTGGTTTGTAAGGTGTTGCCCGGGAAACCATCCTGATACAGTCCATAATAGGACAGACGCTGAGGCACAGGGTACAGCCTGTGCATGTGTCGCTAACCGTAGGCAGGTGAGTTTCTGGATCAAACCGGATAGCCTGCAAACAGAAATCAAGAGAGCTGAGCCACCGCTCCCCAATGTCAAGAACGCCCCCATTTTAGCGTCAGCATCTCTGTGACAGTAGTGGAGAGTACCGCACCGAGCACCGTCGGTGGTGCAATGACAGACAGCAACAGCTGAACTGACGGGAGAAACAGAGGAAACGCCCTTACCTTGGAAGTGCAGTGTTTACAGTTTATCAGAGGCTTTTCCTTCCGTGTGGGAGGAAACATTCTGAAACACAGCGCTTCTGCTGTCTCTGTTAGCGAAGCGCTCAGGTCTCGCCAGTTGACCAGGCTGAGGTAGCTTGTGCCCGCGGATCTTGGATACTTTCATACAGACCCAATTACCCCTCACACTTCTTGTTCTTTTCTTAATGCTTTCGTGTGTGTGTGTGTGTGTGTGTGTGTGTGTGTGTGTGTGTGTGTGTGTGTGTACATGTGTGTTTGTGTGTGCAGATGCACGTGACTGTGGAAGAACATGTTCATGTGATAGAGAGGCCAGAGGAAGGACGACCTATACAATCCTACGCTAAGATGTGCTCCCTCCACAGACACACACATACACAATAAATACATATAAAAATAGAAACACTTGCTTGAAGACTAGGTAAAATCTCTCCATGCCCCATTGGTTTGAATGATCTATACTTTAAAGGGGGGGATCATTTTATTATTGATCTCAAAAACTACATTATTTAGTTTATAGCTTATAGTATACTTATGGCTTGAACATTTTAATAAAAATAATAATAGTCTTGTAGTGCTAACAATTGTTTGTACTTTTAAACAACAGACCTTGATGAAATACGTATCCAAAAGATTTCTAAGCCTCGTCATTTCTTCCATTCATTTGGAAAACCCACCAGGTCAAGGTCACAGTTATGTAGATGCTGTTTAAAGAAGTAGCTTATAAGCGAACACACCAGTAGATGAAACCCTATCCTAAAGCCACAGAGAAATGGATGGTGTGTGTTCTGCCTACCCAGGAGGAGAGGAATCTTTAGCCTCTCCTTTCTGTCTTGTGGCAAGCTCTCAGCCAAGGCAGGGAAAGCACTCATGGTCACTTCTATCATCAGACAAACCAGAAATATCTCCCTGTCTTTTCTGCTACGAAGAAAATCCTAAGCCCGACTTCTACAAGTAAGTGGTGGGGAATGTTTCTTTTCTTTTCCGTTTATCAATTACTGCTGTAAAATCCCCATTAATACAGGATGGAGGAGAATCCTCTATGGGCTGAAGGAATCAGGCCCTTTTAGGGACTTGGTAATAAATGACAGTTCTCTCTGCAGTCGGTGTCACATCATAACCTCCCCTAATGGACATTATTTTGCATGAATTTCTGTTTTTAGTTAAGGCTTTCTCTCCAGCTTCATGGGTGATGAAATGATACTAAAATAATAGTGTGCACTAAGGTGGCTGTATTGGTTATTTTTCTCATGACTGAACCAAATACCCAACAAGAAGCGACTCAAAGAAAGGAGAGAGGGAGGGCAGGCTTATTTTATTTGGGTCACTGTTCAGAAGATGTCCACCATGGTGGAGAAGCCATGGCAGCAGCTGACAGCATCACGTGTGGGTGGAGCAAGAAGCAGAGAAAGATACTGCGCGTGCTCCGCTCTTCTCCCATTTTTATTCAGTAGGAAGAAACTCCAGCACGTGGAATGGAACCTTTGAAACTATGGGCTGTGCCTTGTCCAAAGAGGTGGCCTAGCAGCCAAGAGTGCTTGCTGCATTTACAGAGGACCCAAGTTTGGCCCCTAACACCCAAGCTGGGAACCTTCTAGCTTGTAGGTTTTCACCTACAACCTCTCCGGCTCCAGTGGATCGCAGGCATGCATGCACACACACAGTACATGGTCCTCCTGACACATGCACATAAAACACATAAATAAATATTGAAAACTAAAAATCAAATAGGCCAGTGCATTACAAGGACAGGAAAAAGGACCTGCGGTGTGGGGACATGTTTGGCAAACGTGGTTTGGATTGTAAGTTTAGTAACAGAAGACACATGCTATCCTTATAGAACCATGCCTCTCTGCAGCGTCTTAATTCCAGGAGGGTTCCTACCTGGTAGCCAGAGTCATTGCAGGTCATGTAGCATTTGCCGCAGTTGATGCACATTTCCTCATCGATCAGGGCCACAACTTGCTCCATGATGCTCATCTCACCGAATGTTCCCAGGTATTGCAGTGATTTTCCAATTACATCCTAGAAAATGGGCAGTGAATTACTCACAGTGCTCAACCTCAAACAATTCCTAAATAAGCAATATCTGCCCGTGTTTCGCCATTTTGAGCTCACATTGCATTGTGTTTACTTATGGGCTTGGAGTGTCACAGATGTCACAGATGTCACAGAGGCACTTTCTGTGACACTTAGCTCACTTGGTTTTGGGAGATGGGCAGTATGCACGGGCAGCTTAGAAATATAAGGCCACTGACTGTGGAGGTGGCTCAGTGGTTCAAGTGCTTGATCTGAAACCGTAAAGATCAGAGTTTAGATCCCCAACATAAAATGGAAAGTCACTGAGGATGATAACTGACACCGTCTTGGGATTCCACAAGAGTACATACGTATGCATACATGCACCTTCCTATAGGCCTGCGCGCGCACACTCTCTCACACACACAGACACACACACACAGAAAGAGAGAGGGGGAGGTACAATGATAAGACCTAAGCAGCTGAACGCAATTGCTTTTCTGCTGGGCACTCTAAAACAGCACTTTGTGTATAGACATTAAACTAATGCTCTTAGGTTTTTGTAACTTGTGTATTCCAGGGTTTGCATTTGGCAGGATCTAAAAGTAATGTAAACAGACAAAAAGGCACCACATTTACCCCAGAGACTCCACTCCACTGGGGATGAGGGAAATGAAAACAAGAATGCATCCCGTTTTTATTGTTGTTCCTTTGATTCTTGATTTTCATTTGAAAGGTGCTCTGATAGCTCACTCACCTGTCATGTCTCCAAAAGTATAGTTCTTTATTGAAGAATTCTAATTTATGCTAATTAGCTAGGGAGATCTAGGTTGAATTAAATGCTCTTTCACTCTCAAGGAAGCAGCGACTGCTCCATTCACGCTGAGAATCTTTCATGCGGTTACACACGGCTTTGTTTCCTATATTAATTGAGATTATGCTTAATATGGGAAGCACAGAGGATGTTTCATCAACACTAGGAAGCACTTTGTTTCAGCAAACAAAACAGAGGAATGTAACAATGTTTGTCAAATTAGTGCGCTGTCAAGATTTTCTGCTTTTGTTTTTAGCCTTTAGAATGAGAACGGTTTGTTTGAATTCAAGGTCTACGTTCAAAGAGGTTGGCTCTTGTTCATCGCCCTCGTTCTACATTGTCTTGGGTATTTTATTTTCTGGACTCCTTCTGGCCTGGCATGATGGCCTCTCTTGATTGTCAACTTACTCCACTTAGAAGAGGGAACCTCAAAGGCAGAATTGTGGGATTGTTCTGCGGCCATGTCTATGGGGCATTTTCTTAATTACTGATTTATAGAGGTGGACACAGCCCACTGTGGGAGGTACCGTGCCTGGGTAGGTGGGCCTAGGCTGTATAATAAGGTTAGCTGAATACACAATTGAGAGCAAGCCAGTAAGTGGCTTTCCTTCCTGATTCCTGCTTCAGCTCCTGCCTACAGGAGCTGCCTACAGGAGCTCCTGCCTTGAGCCCGAGCTGGCTTTTTGGGATTGCCAGTTGAAATTAACCCTTTCGTCTCTCAAGTAGCTCTTTTGATCCATGTTTCATTAGGGCAACAAACTAGAATGCTCCGGAAACTTGAGCACTAAATTATCCCTATAAGCTTTCAAACGGAGACAATGTTCAAATTATCCTTACACTTCATTTTATACTCTTAAGCCCTATGAGGATGGAGAACTTCTGCCTCAAACACTTTCTCCATGGTGTGCCAACGGGGAAGATGTAATTTCAGCTGCATTGCAGCGTGTTTGCAGGTGGGCCCTTGACATCCAAGCTCACACTGCATTACCAATTGTGTGTGTGTTACCAGCAGAAACAAGATTGGTGAGTTACCCACCGAACTTGTAAGACAGAACTGCAGCACCCTTCTACTTTCCTTGGCATCGTGTATACCATTAGGATTTTTTTTTTTTCAAATGAGGGAGACTTCTAATTTTACTCCTATTTCTCTCTTCTCTAATGTCATCTGCTGTTGTATTTACTGAAGGATTTTTTTTTAATCTCCTCCTGGGTCTACAACCAGTTTTCAACATGACTCATTAAGTCCCAGTCATTTTTCCAGTCCTGTATATCTTTTAAAGAGAGCTCAGATGTCTCTACTTCGTGAGGACTTCTTCAGTCCTTCTGTCTCCTTTCCTAACCAAATGACAAAATGTGTTCTTTCCTCTTTCTCTCCCTCCTTCCCCTTCTCCCCTTTTCCCTCTCCTTTATCATGATCTGGGATATTTCATCCATTTTGGAAAATCAATGATAAGAGATAGGTTTTGAATTCTATGACACTTCAGGCTAGTGCCTTAATTTAAAATCATTTTCTTATTTAAACCTCATGCATTTTAGGGATGATGAGGTGACTGTGATTTAGGATATGAAATCAAGTAGATGATGAAATAAAGTCTCAGATTACTGCTGCTAAACTTCGAATGCCGTGATCATATGCACTGTGCTGGACTGACTTACTTGTTATCCTCTAGCAAATCCCACCTCACATTGCAAATGTAATTTTAAATCTAGATTCCTATGCCTTTCTTTTTTGTAAAGCAGAGCTTTATTCATCTTTGAATCAAAAAAGGTATATCTTGTTTCTGCAGATCATTACACCACAACGGATGCTCAAATATTTGTTCAATAAATATATCATTTGTACATAACAGTGACTATGTATGTCACTGTTATGAGTCTAGGCATATATGTACAAATGATTTTACTATGTAGTAGTAAAAGGTCTATTGGATATTTTTATTAATTTAGGCATTGCACATGTAAAAGATAATCAAGGAACTCAAGCAGTTTAATATTTTCTAATATTTCAAGATAGTAAATGCATGAGCATTTATTTGGGTGTGAAAGTCTATTTATGTGTAATAGGAACTAACTTTTTAAATGCAAATAAATCAGTCAAAACATCTCTTGTGCAGGATCTGATCATCATGGGAGAAATCGCTAGTTAAATCCTCATCTGATGACTACTCAGGAAAATCTCTAGATTTTTTTTTCAGAAGAAACATACTTGCCCAAGAGATTTCTATTATGAAAAGCAAGTTTAACCTCTCTGTATATTATATATGCCTTTTGCTCTGTTTGAGATTTGTAGCTTTTATTTAAAACACCATTTTTTAAAATACAAAACCAGACAGAAGGCCTTTGCAAGTTATTAACACGGGGGAGGGGGTCAAACATCTACTCATGATAGATTTTTTAAGTATATCATCTTCATTTTTAATCAGGAAAAGGATAAAAGAATAGCATCTGAAATCATTTTGGCAGGATCAAATAAAAATTAAGAAAGAATGGTCATTCTTTGTTGCTAAAAATGTAGACATTTGTTGAAAACCCTCCATTTCTAACTATACTGCCTGCCAATGGATATTGTTGGTCATGTCCTGAAATTTGTAGTTTGCAGAAAGATGTAGATCACTGGGCACGTACCTAACTTTCAGGTGGTGCCTTGTAGAGTTTGCAGGACCTCATTTATTATTCCATACATAGTGCACACACACACAGTTTGAGAAATCTGGGTAACCATTCCTGTTTACTAAGAATGCTTCTGCATGGAAACTATGACACTGGATCCTTTAGATTATACCCCACTCATTTGACTTGACGTGTGTGTGTGTGTGTGTGTGTGTGTGTGTGTGTGTGTGTGTGTGCAAACTCAAAGTTGACATCAGGTATCTTTCTCAAACACTGCCAATCATATGTATGATGTTTTTTTTGAAAAAATGGGTCAGTCATTATTTCTATTTGATATACAGTTAAAGGCCAAAGAATATAAACCTGGAAGGACTTGATCTGACCTCTGATGCTTTACACTTTTCTCACTATGAGCAATATAAATTTATTAGTTTTGACCTACTTTTAAAGCCGATTGAAGTACCTTCAAATTGTGATTATTATCTGGGCACATTAACTGTAGCTTTGGGTCCTCACATTCGATTAGCATATTTCCTACAATTCCTGCAAATATGTGCCCTTCAAAGTCCAGAACCAAGGACAGCATGCTGTGGGCAATCACTGTGACTTCTAACCGGATGGAGCCATGATTTAAATCATTTGGTAGAGTTGCTTAATTACTTTGCCTTGTCCTCATCTGCACTATTATCACTGCCCCAGGTCCATATCTTGTCACTCCTTGCCTTATAAACCTATCAGGAGAGGAAATGAGATCATTTGGTTTGCTCTCACCTAATTTATCCTGATTCTTAATAACTTTGTCCTTATAAACGCTCCTATGTCAAAAGTTTAGTAATCTTTGCACAGTTCCCCTGGGATGGGATCTGTTTCTATTTTTTTCTCTGCTCTAGTAAAACTGTCTACATCCCCATATCTATTCCACCCTTTCCCTTCCTTCCTTCCTTCCTTCCTTCCTTCCTTCCTTCCTTCCTTCCTTCCTTCCTTCCTTCCTTCCTTCCCATGGCTCTCATTTGGTTATTTTGAGACAGGGTTCTTCTCTGAAAACTAGGCTATCTCTAAACTTCCTATGTAGCCCAGGCTGGTCTTGATACTGTAGTAGGCCCACTGTTTCAGTTTCTTGAGTGCTGGGATTACAGGAATCTGTTGCCCAGCTCAGCTTGCTTTTTCTATATTAAGAAAACCCAGAAAGATATTTGTTTTCCATCAGTTGGTACAGTGTTCTCAAACACAAGTGCTCTCAGAGAATAACAGTCAACTTATCGTCGATCTCATGTCTAGCCCGCTGAGCTAGGAAGCAAGCAGCAAACCCTGAGAAAGGGTGGTCTTGGATTTGAACTCAGGAGACTCTGGCACTTGAGATGAGGCCAGCATAAGCTGAGCTGGGGATGACCAAGGCAGTGATTCAGAAAAACACTGTGGCAAGAGGCAGGCTAGAAGCAAGTGAAGTTGATAAGAGAGGGTGGTGGCAGAGCAAAGTGTCTATGAGGGACACAGTGGCATGGCTGGCTTCAGCTCCAAGGCTCTGACCACAGCATCCTTCCTGTGTGGGGAGGACTTCGTCTTGAAGGGCCGACTTGCTGAG